TCTGGGGTCCTCAAGCAATGGTGGGAATTGACTCTGCCAGCAGTAGGGGGCAGCTCGGGCAGTGTAGGGGGGCAGGCACCTGGGGTCCAGGCTGCAGAAGGGGCGGCGTCTAGGCTCCCCGGGGAGCCTGGCCGGAGCTCAGGGACAAGGGGCAGGGAGGGGGCATGGCGGCCCCATAGACCACTGCTCACCTTGCAGAGCGGTGGCAAAGCCCGTCTCTGTCGTGGGCAGGCCAGGAGCGCCTCGCAGCCGTGCAGGACAGTGGACAGTGGCTGGAGAGCTCGCTGAGCCCAGACAGGCAAAGTGCAGTGAAGCCGCACTGGCCCGGGGACAGACCAGTGACCAGCTCGGGCCGCCGGGAGGAGCCCGCCGCCTCTCTGGGGCCCCCGCAAATAAGCCGGCTGACAAGTGAGAGCAGAGGTGGACGCGCCCGAGCTCCCGCCGACCACGTGGGGAGGACGCCCAGGAGGAGCGGGGTGGGGGGGACCACGCTGGTCACAGGGCGTGATCCAAGGCCACACTCCCGTTCCCGCCAGCTCGCCCTCTGTGAAGTGAAGGTGAGGGTCGACCCCCCCCAGCTCGCCACACAGACCCAGTGGTTCTGCCCTTGGCACAAGGCGTGAGCGGGCGTGCACTCCCCCGCCCCGTCCCCGCCTGTCCCCGTGAAGCGCCTGGGATGTGCGGAAACCGCAGGGACGGCTCTCGTTTGGCTGGCACCCGCTCCTCCCTCCCGCGTCGTCGTGGCTTGGGGCAGCCCGTGAGGGTCCGGCAGTGCCGCCGCCTCCTGCGCTCCCTCCTGGGAGTGACTGGAACACGCCGGGAGGACCGTGACCGCGAGGACCGTGACCGCGCGGTGCCCGAGAAGCACCGACAGATCCACCGGCCATGAGGGGGTTCCCGCTCCACCCACATGTCCATCGGGAGAGAAAGCGCTCCAGGTCCCCACGCTGGAGACCGGCCACTTCTTGTCCAACGCCGCTCAGGTCCGCTCGGAGGCCCACGGGTTTCTCCTGAGCCTGCGGGTGCGACGCTGCCCGTTGTCGCGGGCCACCAGCTCCCCCTGCCGCTCCCCCACGGCACTGCACCTCCCGGCCGGCACCCGCGGCCAGGAGTGTCCTTGGATCCTGAGAAAACCCAAGAAAGATCCTGAGAAAACCTGAGAAAGATCCAAGAAAACTTGCTTGGGATCGTTGGGACACACGGTGCGGGGGGAGCTTGGTACACAGCAAACCCTCCCCAGCCTGAGTGCTTGAACCGTCAGAAGGTAGCAAACAAACAGTCTTGGCCGATTTGGGCAACGGTCAGACTCCTCTCGTCTGGAAGTAGGATTCACCGGCCATAAGCCACCTCGGTGACAGCTGTCTGGTAAATGTCAGCCGTGCCGTCCCGTGCCCACCATGGAGCGTGTCCGCGCCACCCCGCGGCCGGTCCCTTCCCCAGGCCCCCATCCCAGGAAACCATGGCTCCGCCCTCTGCCTCCGTGCTGTGTGCGCCCCGCACCCCTCAGCAAGACCCGCGAGGTCGTGGGTCGCCCGGCGCCTGCGAGAGGCACCCGTGGTGCATGCCAGCACGAGCCCGTGTTCACCACTCGGACAGCCGACCGGCTCTGACTCCAGACGGACGCTCCCCCTGGAGAGCGAAGTGGGGTGGCAGCTGGGAGGGGCAGCACCTCCATCCCCCGCCCTGCCTCATGCTCAAGGAAGTGCTGCTCAGGGTAGGCTCTTTCCATGGAGGCCCCATGACTGAGGGTGGGACGGTGGGACCCGGGGGTCCCCTCACTCGTGGTGCCTGGCAGAGCCCAGGAGGAGCACCAGCGTCTGGCTGGACACCGCGTCCCAACAGGGTGGCCCCAGAGCCCCTTTGCTCTCTGGGGCCGGGCAGGGGCCCGGGCTCTGCCACCTCCCTCCGTGGTGAAGAATGAGCCCCCGGGAGGCCTGGTGGGCAGCAGGCTGGCCACTGTCCGTTTGTGGTCATGGTCACGATCCCACTGGGAGGGGAGGGGCTGGGAGGGCGTCCCAGGCCCTCAGCAGCCCTCCCAGGCCCTCAGCAGACCGAGGCTGGGGCGTAGCCGGAGTCTGAGCGGGACAGACCTCTGGAGGCCACACCAGGCCCGTGAGGCCCGCCTGCTGAGAGCGTGAATGCCCCTGCCCCTGCGCCTGCCCCTCGGGACGCGGTGGCCTCCCCCAGAACCGGGCGCAGCAGCACCGTGAGGCACGCATCTAATCTAGGGGACACGTGTGGACAGAAACGTAGGCCAGTGTGGCCAAGACAGGCCCTAACCTCTGGACACCACGTCAAGCCCTGGGTGGCCTGGCCCCTGTCCCCAGAGCACCGCAGGCGGCAGCACGGACCGCGTGGCCCAGCATCCGAGCTTACAGCAGGAGCAGCTGCCACCTGGCCCTTGATCCCGGTCCCGCATCCCCACTGAGCCCCAGGACACCACAGCTCAGGGACATGGGCCAGATGAGGAAGAGAGAAGAGCTGGACAGGACTGGAGCCCCTCCCTCACTGCCTCTCACCCCCCTTCCCCTGCACCCACCCTCCTCCTCTGAAGAGGATACTCCAGCACCTGCCCGTCTGGTTCTGGGCAGAGGGACCCCAAAAAGAGCGTCCTGGCTGGGCCAGCAGGGCGAGGGTCTGGGGGACCTGGGGCCCCTGCTCTGCTGAGCCCTCACTGAGAAGCCCCAGCTTGACAGAAGGGCACCAGGCTGGATCCCCCACACACGAGATCGAGCACATCTGAGGCCGGGCCCCTGTGTTCTGCTGCACCCAAAGGCTGCGAGAGGCAGGGCACAGAGCCGCATCTCCAGTGGGACCCAGGCTGTCAGGGCACAGGAGGAGGGCCCACGGCGGGGTGAGGGTGGCCTCCACACTGGGGACTCCACACGGACCCCTCCTTGGCTGGAAACCAGGCCTGGAGCAGTGCAGGGCCCCCACAGAGCAGGCTCGGGGACCCTCTGCCGGAGAGCCGAGGCCGGGAAGCAGCAGAGAGAGGGCTGGGCGGGCACGGCCAAGGCGCTTGCTCCTGGGCAGAGGGCATCCCCAGCAGGGCCCTCACAGACACAGAGGGAGCGGAAGGGGCATCGGCGTCCTGTATGATGCGAAGAGCTCCCCCAACCCACGGGCTCGGGCAGGGCCAGACTGCCGCGCAGGGCAAACAGCGTCCACGCGCCTCTCCAGGGAGCGCCTACCCGGCTGCCCCTTGCCCGCCGCGGGTCGCCCAGAGCCCCCGCCTCGCAGCTGGAGAGCCAGGAGGTGGATGAGGATGCTGGCCCGAGGCTGACCATCCTCCCAACCGGACGCAGGCCACGAGCCCCACCCCGCTCTTGTCCTGCAGGTGGTCCGGCTGGAGGGGCTCAGCCAGGCAGCAGAAGTGACCCACCGCCAGGACAGGCCAGGAGCCCGGCTCCGCGTCCACGGAACACACCACGCTCCGGGAGCTGCGGGAGCTCAAGGCCCTGGAGGCCCTGGGACTGGGGGCGGGGACCTTGGAACAGGTGCGGGCCGCGGGGGAGACATGACGACCGACGACCACTTTACAGAAAGGCTGGTTCTGACGCTCCCAGAGCCCCCGCGCAGCCACGCAGCAGAGCCTGGGAGCCCCCACCCCGCGCCCTTAGCAAACCTCCTGCTCCAGGAGGCCACTTGGCGGCTGCAAGGCCGGTCCAGGCCACCAACCCCCGGAAAGTCCACAGGTCTTGGCCAGGGACGATGCAGACTCCTGCCATCAGCAGAGGGAGCTGTGCCGGGGCTTCTGGGCCCCACCCCCAGGCCAGGAGGGCCTTGGACTGTCCCCCGGGTCCCAGGGTCATGGGCCCCAGGGTCACGTGCAGACGAATCCTGACCGCCCATCACAGCCCTCCCTGGGTCGGGCAGGGGCAGGTCGGGGAGGGCTCAGCTGACTCCTAGGGACACAGTGAGTGCAGAGGAGGGGGGCTCCAGTCTCCCCAGTGCAAGCCCTCACTGGCTCCCAGCATCACGGAGCCCACCGTGGGCACCAGCCTCCCGGAGAGCCTCCATTCGGTCAAGGTAAACTGCAGTGGACTCGTGGGGGGACACCCTGGGGGCCTCCCCTCAGGCTCTGGGGGAACACGCAGGTGACTTCACCCCACACCCTCACCTGCCGGTCAGGCCGGGGGTCTGCCCCCTCAGAACACACAGCGGGCCCCCGCCCGACCTTGTGAGCTCCGGCTCGGGTCCGGTTCTCTCCACGGCCACCCAGACAGCCCAGCAGCCTGGCACTCTGTCGGAAAAGGACCAGAGGAGCCCCTTCCTTAACATTCCCATGTTGGTGGCTCAGCTCCCACAACCGCTTCCCAAATACCCACGGGCAGGTGGCCAGGCGGTGGCACACACAAGGCCAGCCCCCCGCCGGCATCCGCAGAGCCAACCTGAACTTCCACAAGTGGGGTCTAGGGGCTGGTGGCCCTGTGGGCACGCCCAGCAGGAGGAGGGGCCCGCCAGGCTTGCCTCGGCCGCGGAGCTGGCTTGCTGCCCCGGTCGTGGACCAAGAACAAAGCTCTTCGCGGCCGAGAGACCCCGGGCCAGGCGCGGCCCCTCACACAGGTGCAAACGCGTGCACATTCCCACTCGAGTCACACGTGCACACACGCCCCGAGCCTGTAAGACACCACACAGCCCTTTTGTGCAGTCAAAGCTGGAAGTCCTCCCAGAGGGGCCACCTGCTCTGCCCCGGCTGTGCGACGTGCCAAGAGCAGGACAGGACAGGGCTTCCGCAGGTGACCTGGGGAAGGCGGTCACTGGGGTTGCCCCCCGGGCCTTCTCACCCACTCGCCCCACCGCAGCCACCCAGAGCCCGGCCCCCACTGAAACACACCGGCACAGCGTCTGCCTGAGTTTATTTGGGAAAGCGAAGAATCGAACAAAGACTCAGAAAATAAATATCGGCCAAGAGGAGGCCGCTTGGTGAGGGAGCTCAGAGGCCAGCGGGAGGGCGGCGGGTGGAGGGCGGGGGGTGGTCCTGGGCGGCGGGACCGCACTCAGTCCCTCCCCGGGTGCAGGCCCCGGGGGCTGGCGCGCCGCTGGCGGCCAGGGGCCCTGTGCTGAGCCCGCGGGAGCCCGCACACGGTGTCCTGGCAGGAGCAGCTCTCGATGTGGGTGTAGCTGTGCTTCCGCGAGCTGCCGTCTGGGCAGCTCAGCTCTACCTCCCGCTGGCTGGTGCGCCCCTCCTTGCAGCAGGAGCACTGGTGGTCCAGGGCCTGGGCCTCGGCCGAGTACCTGGGGCGGGGGGAAGGGCCGCGGTGAGGAGCCGCTCCCAGGCATGGGAGCCCCGCCCCTGCCCCCCCAGGGCCTGGGCCTCACTTGACGGAGGTCTCGCAGGACCCAGAGCAGGAGTTCATCACGACTTTCTTGGTGCAGCCGGAGTGAGAAATTTCCTTGGTCATGGGGACAGTGGAACAGAAGATCCTGGTCTCATTCCGAGGGATGCCTGGCAGGAGGGGGCGGAAGCTCTGGGAGAGGGTCTGGGGGAGCTCGGGGCAGGGGTTCTCCACACCTTCAGGGGCCCGCGGCTTCCTCCCTACGGCTGCTTCTCCCTCCCCAATCGCATCCGGCCTCAGCTGCCCCCCAGCCCGCAGGGCACCCCAGATGACGCCCTCAAATTCAGTGTCCAGTGGACAGAGGCAAAGACGCCGTCCCCCGGCCTCTCCCGCTCCAGGGTCCTGGCCGGACCGCCCCGCCCGGCCGCTGGCGCTCACATTTCCTGCAGCATCCATTCGGCATGAACACGATGGAGCCCTGGAGGGAAGGAGAGTGAGCCTAGGACCCAGCACTGCCCCGCAACAGTGAGCAGCCCCCTCCTGCCACAGGGTGTGGAGGGACAAGGACCGGACTGCCCCTGGGGACCCCCACTCACTGGGAGGCAGATGCTGGGGTCGAAATCAGGGCAGGTGATGTTGGACACGGAGGAGATGAGCTGGTTGTGGACGTTCACGCAGCTAAAGAAGGTGCAGTTGTTGGTGGGGTCGTGACGTATGTCCCCAGGCTGCAGGGCAGAGGGCGGTGTGGTGAGGGACAGCAGGACACCCGGCCGGCAGGCCCCGAGCCACTGGGCAGGGGACACCCAGGAGGGGCCCCGGGACAACTGCCAGCCTGCAGTCCACAGACACATCCACACCGCCAGCACCTGCTGACGGGCCCTCGTGCAGAGAAAGGTGTTTCTAGATGTGATGACATTAGAGGTCAGGAGAGCAGACCGTCGTGGATGACACGGGTGGCCCTTAATCCAGCCACCAGTGTCCTTGCAGAGAGCAGGGGCCATGGGACAGGGGGCAGACAGTGCACAGGTGTGGCCATGAACCCAGGGCTGCCTGGAGCCCCAGAGGCTGCAGAGGCAGGAAGGTCCCCCAGAGCCTTTGCCGGGAGTAGGGCCCCCCTTGATCTTGGCGTCGGACTCCGCGGGAGGCAAGAGTCAGCCACTCACCGTGTTTCCAGCCCTCGTCTGTAGTCCCTGGTCATGGCCACCCCAGGACCCTTGCAAAGCCGCGCCCAACCCAACAGAGAGCCAGCTGGGGACACAGGAGTGGTCCCAGGCCCCGACGCTGGCTCCGGGTCAGCCCTGCCCCCCGCCCGTGTGGAGAGGCAGGACGTGTGCGCTGCGAGCCGGCAGGGCTCCCCGCGCACCTTCAGGATGATGGTCTCCGCGCCGGGTCTCTTGACGATGCAGTGGGTCTGCTGACACTTGCCGCAGCACTGCCCGGGCACGTCCACCAGCTCGAAGCCCTGCGGGACACGCACGCTCAGGTCGGCGCGGGCAGGAGAGGCACCGGGAGCCGGGCGGGGGCCGTCAGGGGCGGGGGTGGCTTACAGGGCTGCAGTTGTCGTCGCAGGGCACGTGGGTGCAGGAGATGACGTTGAGCTGTGTGCCGCTGTCCGTGCGGTTGGTGCAGACACAGTCCTCGCACTTGGAGGAGTACACTGGAGACCCGGGCTGGGGCCCCAGGGAGGCCGGTGAGGCCGGGCCCCGCCCACGCCTCCCGCCTGCTGCAGGGGGGACGTCCACAGGCCCGACGCACAGCGTGGAAGTCCCAGGGCGGGCACCCCCGCCCCGGGCAGGCACCCCCGCCCCGGGCACTCTGCCTGCCCCTCCACCCGGGGCTCTCCTGGTACTCAGCCTTGGACCCCCCCTTGGCCCAGGACCACCCCTCAGCCCGGGACTGCCCCTCGGCCCGGGGCTCACCTGGTACTCAGCATTCCCGTGAACGCACACCCCCTTGGGCACTGGAGGAAGAGGATGGAGACGGGGGTCAGGTGGGACCACCTGACCCCGCAGCCGACACACGGGCCCTCAGGCCTGGGCTGGGCGTGTGTACCATGTGAGGTGACCCCCCGCGGCTCCCCGACCGCCAGGCCCCACTGACCACAAGAGTAGGACGGGCAGCACTTCCCGGGTCTGGTCTCGCTGCTCACGTCAAAGCCCAGCGGGCACTTGGGCGGCTTCCCCTGGCACAAGCTGGTGTTGCACTCTGTGGGGGACGGAGGACGCGGTAGGAAGGGCAGGGCCTGAAGGCTGCAGCCCCCTTCCACACGCGGCTCGGGGGGACGCGCCCTGCTGGCCCAGCCCCCGCGGGCCCCCAGGTCAGAGGCCCGCGCTCGGTGGGGAGGTGAGGACGGCGCCGGGGCCCTTACTGCAGGACGTGATGTTACAGCAGGTGTCGGCGGGGTTGACCTCGGTGAGCGGGTAGGTGCCGTCCTCCGTGCACGTGACCGGCTCCTGGTGGCACTCCTTGGGCTCGCAGATGATGCCGCGGCCGCCCTCCAGGCACACACAGTCCTTGCAGTCGAACTCAAAGTGCTCTCCGAACTGGGGGGAGAAAGTAGGCGGGCTGGGGTCACAGCGCCTGCCCCCTCACCCCTCCGCACGCGCTGGGGCTGCCCGCCAGGCGCCAGCACTCACCGGGAGGGGCACCATGGTGGGCGTGGTGCCGAGGGCCCTGGGGACACCTGTGCCCCCCCCGCCTCGCCCCACCCAGGGCTGGGTCACTGACACCACAGCCGTGACCCACTCCCAGCGTTTACCCCCCGGGCCTGGCACGCGGCAAATCGCCACACGCGTGTGGGGGGTTCATGGGATAGAACGAAGGAATCCGCCACACGTGGAAGACACGGACAACACCGCCGTGGCCAAGATGTCATGTTGGGTTTGGTCAGAGCATCTGACGACCGAGGGGTGGGTGGACAGTTGGACAGACAAAGGGATAGAGGATGGCTGGGTGAGGGCGTGGATGGGTAGAAGGAGGGAAAGAAAGAGAGAGAAGGAGGAAGGGGGGGATGGAGAGGCAGGGTGGGAGATGGGTGGGGGGTGGGGGCACCCAGGGGGCACCTAGGGGACACCCCTGCTGGCTCAGCCTTCTAGGACTTGAACGACAGGACTCAGGGTTTGAGACTCCCAGGTTCCTGTGTGCGACCCGCCCTAGCCCCCAGACTCCGGGTGTGTGGGTGAGTCCCATCCCAGCACCAGGAGGAAGGGCCGACCTTTCTGGGCACGTTGTCAGGTCCCACGCAGCCTGGGGAGGGAGAGAACACAAGTACGTTAGTGGAGCCCAGAGCTGCAGGACCCGGGGGGCTTCGCCGAGCCACGTGGGCAGGCGCCGTACCACACATCTCCACGCAGACGTCGAACCCCGGGGCGTAGTTCATGGTGCCCTCAGGACAGAAGCAGCCTTCCACCAGGCGGTCGTTCTTCTGCACTATGGGCCTGGGGGGGAGGACATCACGAGATGCGTGTGTGCACAGGCAGGGGCCAGGCACGTGGGACCACGACGCCCTGACAGCGTCTGCCACCCTGACGCACGCCCGTGGGGCGAGCTGGCTCTCCCTGCATACCTTAGAGCAGCTGCACTAGACTCGCAGGAGGGCTCATCTGCAGGGCTGCAGGCCCGGTACTCCCTGTGAGGCGGGCACGTCATCGCTGCGGGAGGGAGAGGGGATCAGAGGAGCCGGAGTCTGGAGGGAGGGCCCATGGGCCCCCTGGCAAGGGACAGGCCTGCCCAGCCTCTCCTGTGCCCGCCGAGGGCGACCAGCCGCCCAGCGCTGCCCACCTCAGCCCCCACGCCATCCCTGAGCTGGGACGCAGGTGCCCAGGTGCCTAGCAGGTTGGCTGGAGCCCCAGGCCCCCGGCACCCCCAGCCTGCCCTTCTTCCCGCCCCAAGGCCCAGGCCTGCATGCACTCCCTGCCCACCCGGCCCTCCCGCCCCCCCATGTAGCTTCAGGCCGGACACGGCACCCAGGGAAGCCCGGAGACCCGTCGGGCCCACAGGCCGCAGGTCTGGGGCGGGGGGACACGCACAGCAGACCCCGTGGGTGTGGTTCCTCCAGTCGACACAGATGTCGGCCTGGGCACAGAGGGCAGCGTAGGCCTGCAGGCTGGCACACTCCAGGCCCGAACCGGGCACAAAGCAGCTGTCGAACACGCAGGCCTCGTAGTAATGCTTGGGGGGCACCATGGTGTGGCACGGGGCAAACAAGCTGTGGGGGAGGCGCGGGGCAGGTCATGCTCCGGCCAGCCCTCCCCACCCACCCAGTGCCTCCACCCGGAGGCCCTCGTGGAGCCTGGCTCAGCTCGCATCCCCCCAAAACAGGCGCCCGCGGGAGGACAGTGTCCAGGGAGTGACCGCGCAACCTCAGGAAAGGGGGGCCGGCCTGGGGGGTGGGGGGCTCCAAGCTAGGTGGCTGCCAGGTGCCGGGACCCCCGCCTGCAACCCCAGGGAGTCCCCCAGACTCAACTCGCGCAGCTCTGGGGACAAGGCCCTCGCTCGCATGGCCGCTCGCTCTGGGCTCTCTCCCGGATCCCAGCCCTGAGCGCTCTCCCTGCGGCCTGCAGCTCAGCCAGTCCCACCGAGGCAGGAGAGATCAGGAGGTCAGAAAAGGCGCGGGGCTGTGTGACAAGACAGCTCAGCCCCGTAGACGTGAGAAGCCCCGGTCCTGGGCCCTCCGCGACCCAGTATCTGCCCACGGCACCCTGACTGCCCCGGACGTCCCGGCCCCGTGCTCAGCCCTGGGCCTCAGCTCCTCTTTGCAGACGGGGGTACAGCACGAGAGGCCACCGCTCCCCGAGACCCCGACCCCGCAGCTCGCAAGGGACCAGCAGGGGCACCTGTCTCTGATGAGCTCGCAGAGAGGAGAGGCACAGTCCTTGCGGGAGGTGGTGCTGGCCCCTGGTGGCGTGACGGCCGGACGCTTGGTGGTGACGCTGGTGTGAGGACAGTGTGGCTTGGAGGGGTCATTCACCACCCACTGGTCAGCCGCCAACCCGCAGTCGGACACGATCTCCCCGCTGGGCAGCATGCAGTCGTCCGCCGTGTCGTTGGTGCACGTGCCTGTGTGGGGAAGGAGCCCACGTCGTACACACCCGCCCCCGGACCCTCCCCTTCTCCAGCCTGGGACCCCCGGAGACTGTCAGGCCAGGGCCAAGAGCACCGATGGGACAAGACTCCCATCGGCCTCTTCCCAGGGGGCCCCGAGCCGGGAGCGAGAGAACCACGGCGGGGCTGGCAGGAGCTCTCACCCAGCCCCCACCTCCGAGCCGCCCTCCGGGGGAAGGAGCCCACGGGGCCGGGGCTCACCACACTGGCCCTTGGTGTTGTTGCCAAACAGGCGGTGGGGCAGCGTGATGGAGAAGGAAAGTCCGTTGTAGGTGATGAGGGCGCCCAGCTTGGAGATCTCCACCACGTAGTTGATGCCCAACTGGTACACGTGCAGCTCGTTCTTCATGTAGGGCAGGGCCACGACTTGCCTGTTGACCTGCACCTGTGACCGGACACGGGGTCAGGACAGCCAGCGGGCAGGTGGGGGACCCTCAGCTGGCCTCAACCTGGCCACTCGGGAAACAGAGCCTCGTGGGTCTGACAGGGATGAGTCGGGGCAAGCCGAGACCTCCTCCCAGGGCACCTGGGATCATCCCTCCCCTGCCTGTTTTCAGGCCGGTGCGTCCAGTGGGCGGACCTCAGCCTGTCCCCCGGCTCCCTGGCGCCTGCCCTGGTCCCTTTCCCACTTTGTTTCCATCGCTCTTGCCAGACTTGTCCTGGCCAGTCCCCGGGGGGAGGTCACAAGGACACTGCACTCAGAGGCCCGGGAGACGCCGGGGCTGAGGGTGCGGCTCCCGGCTCCAGGACACAAGCAGCCCCACGCGAGTGTGTGGCCAGCGCCGTGCTCGGGAAGGGGACTCCTCCCAGAGACCTGGGGCTCGGGCTGGTGGTGGAACATGAGCTGGGAGGTCAGGGGACAGCGCGGTCCACCATGGAACGAGGGCGCGGGCGCACGGCGCAGCCTGCGTGGGTGTCCCCGACCTGGCCGCGCACCTGGACCTTGATGGGCCCCATCTGCAGGGTCTTGATGAGAACCTCCTGGGACTGGTAGCGCACCACGAGTGTGCGGGGGCAGGACACCTGGTCGTTGACGTCACAGTGGTAGTTGTCGATGTAGACGCCGAAGTTGCCGAGCGTGGGGGTCACCTCCTCCACGAGCACGTACGTGCAGTTCCCTTGGTAGCTGTAGTACAGCCCGTCGAACGTGACATAGTGCGGGTCCCCCCAGCCCGCGCAGTAGCCTGTGGAGGGTGCGCTGCTGAGCCACGCCGAGCCCCAGGCCCGGGCGGCACTGGGGGCAGGAGCCGGCGGGAACCCCGGCTGGACGGGCACTGTGAGCAGGAACCCCGGTTCCCGGGGTGCACGGGACATCCAAGCCCGTTCTATGGGACGGAGCCTCGCTTTGGAGCCAGAAGACCCGGGCTCTGAGCCCAGCTCTGCTCCCCCGGCCCCGGGAGCAGCGCCATTCTGCAGGGGTGGCCGTCCCTCCCAGGCAAGCCCCTCCCGCCCCCGGACCCTCTGCCGAGGAGGGGCAGCGAGCAGGAAGCCCACCACAGGCAGCCACAGCGTCCAGCCCGGGCCCCGCACCCGAGGGCCTCAGACCCCGCAGCCACCACCCCACCGAGGGTCCCGCGCCTCGGGGGGACCTACAGTCGCACTCCCAGTGCGGGCAGCACTCGTCGGGGCTATAGACAAGCGTGGGCTGGAGCCCATTGGCACAGGTGGGCTTGGGCGGGACCTCGCACTCCACCTTCACGAGCTCTACGGTGTTGTTGTACTTGCAGATCGCCATGGTGCAGTTACACAGCCACCACTTCTCATTCTCCTGCGGCGGGAGGGCGCGGTTCAGGGGCACCGGCCGGGACCCCCTCCCACCCCCGCTAGAGGCCAAGCCGCCGGGCACCCCGTGTGGGACGCAGCTCACTGCCAGCCAGCTCCCCACAGCAAGGGAGGCTGGGGGAGATGCGGAGGCTCCAGCGGATCCTGCGCCCAGAAGGCCAGTGGTGCAGCTGCAGAGACGGGGGCGCCTTGGGGTGACCCGCGGAAAGGCAGCGCCTGGGCTCCAGACGCCTAGTGGCCCAGTGCGTGTGCTTGGTGCCAAGGGGACAAAAACCTGCCCACGGCACACTGACCTGTCTGGGAGGATCAAAGTCCGGGCACCCAGGGGGCTTGGTGGTGGCCACTGTGCTCGATGCCGTGGGCGTGGGTGGTTTGGGTGTTGAGGTGGGTGTCGGCTTGGAAGGGGTAGGTGCCGGGGAGGGCGTGGACGGGCATGACCAGTTGAAGATCTCAATGGTGCAGGACACCGAGCAGTTTGCATAGTAGCAGGTATCCCCGTGCGTGCCGTTGTACACCATCTCACCTGCGGGGGGAGAGGCCGGTCCCCCACTGTCCAGGCAGGGCTGGCTACCGGGGTGTTCAGGCACGTCCCCACGAGGCCACCCACCCCCACGTCCCTGACACGCGGCTGCAGCAAAGGGGGCTGACCACAGGGACAGCTGCCCACACCCAGCATCCAGCTTCCCCCACGAGCTCCCGGTTTCGACTCACGCCTGACCCCTCACCCCTGGTAAAGCAGAGGCCGAAGCCCCACCAGCCGGTCACCAGAGAGCCCGAGTGAGAAGCTGGGGTACCTGGTGCGAAGTATGTTTCATTCAAAACGCAGCAGCCGACCTGAGTGGAGGACCTGACCGGGCCCGTGCTCACGCTGATGTTGGGGGTGGAGATCGGAGTCAGGGTGGGGGTGGGCACATAGGAAGACGTGGGCGGCCTGGGGGTTCCTGTGGTGGTCGTGGACGCAGTCGTACGAGTGGGTGTGGAGGGGGTTCCCGGGGTGGGCGAGGGGGGCCTGGTGGTGGTCTCGCTGGTAAGCGTGGTCTTCGAGGAGGTGGGGCCAGAGGTCTGCGGGCCTGGAGGAATGGAGATTTCAGGGCGGAGCTGATGGCACCGCTCTCTGAGAGGCCCCAGGAGCCTGATGGCAAATGCCGCCTCCTTGCAAAAAACCCGCTCGAGGCGTGGCACGTGGCATGGAAAGGCCGTCGTCCACTCTCCTGGCTCTCAGCCTCGAGGGAGGGCAAGGAGAGCAGGGCCCACCATTCCACAGTGTTAGGTCCCCGGCGGGGAGGCGGAAGCCATGGTCACAACATCGGTCCCGCTGAGATCGTGCTGACCAGCTTCCCTCCGAAGCCCTAGTGGGAGGTGCAGACACAAGTGGTGGACAGAAGGAGGGTCCCTAGGGCACCTGGCCGGCAGCCGCCTTTCCCCACTGGCCCCACATGCCACAGTGGGGCCCCCTCCCTAGGCTGCTTTGCCCTGGTGCCCATCACTCTGCCAAGGACCGAGGAACAAGGACCTCAGGCAGCTGTGCCTGTGGAAAGACACCTTAGGGGGGCAGTGGGGAGCCCTCAGCTCTGCCGCTCACACACAGCCTAAGGTCAGCAGCTCCCTCAACGCTCAGTGGCCAGCCTGCCACGCAAGTGAGGAGTGCCGGACCCTCGCTGGGGAGCCCCTCCCCGGGCAGCGCGGGGGGCAGCACCTCGCATGTGAGAAGCCGTACGGCTCCCTGGCAGGAAAGCTCGTTCGCCTAGACTAAGGGGCCTGAGCACACCACAAGCACACAGTCTCCGTGCCCATTACGTGCCTAGAGTGCTGCTCCCGGGCAAGGGCGGAGGGGAGGCCGAGGTGCCCCCAGTGGTAGTGCCCTTTGGTTCGGTTGGCGGAGAGGGAGAGAGTGTGCTGGAAATCTCCACGATGGCTGTCGTGCTAGTCAGAAGCGTAGTTGATTTTGTGGAAGCAGGAAAGGTGAACTGAGAGTTTGAAGGAAAGGAGGGCTCAGGTCTGGGTTTGGGGATGGTGGTCTTACCTGCAGGTGTAGAGCCCATGCTGGTGCTGATGGTGGGGGTCGAAGTCCGGGTCACTATGGTGGTCGTGGTGGTGGTTGGGATGGGTGTTGTGGTCTCGGTGCCCGTGGTGGTACTGAAGGTGGGGGTCGAAGTCGGGGTCACTGTCGTGGTCGTGGTGGTGGTCGGGGTGGGCGTGGTGGTCTCGGTGCCCGTGGTGGTGCTGATGGTGGGGGTCGAAGTCGGGGTCACTGTCGTGGTCGTGGTGGTGGTTGGGGTGGGCGTGGTGGTCTCGGTGCCCGT